AAGCACATTATCTGCAAGGTCAGTGTCCTCTACCACTGTGGTCCCCCATCGGGGCTGGCACCAGCGAGCCGCCTGACTGGGGCAGGTGGGAGAGCTGGGAAGGCCATCGGGACCCCTGTGGAGCCCTCCAGCCCCAGCTTTGGGGTGGCAGAGGAGAGCCATGCTCCCAACCCTGGGTGTCTCCAGCTCGTGGGACATCAGTGGCACTGGCACAGGACTGTGATTGATGACTGTCCTTTGGCCTCCAGGTGCAGGGTATTGCCACGCTCCAGGTGGGCTCTGTCCAGGCAGGGAATCAGTCTGAGTGTGGCCAGTGCTTCAGCCTCTCGTGGATGCCATCCAAGCCCCATCATTACCTTGCAGCTGGTTTTTATGATGGTGAGTACCCCACCCTGCACAAGAAGGGCCTGCATCGTGCAGCAGAGCCTTTGAGGAGCAGGCTTTGCCCTGCAGCAGGCAGAGACACGCATGGAGCTTTGTGGTCCTTCAGCCTCAGGCAGGGAATGGGGGAACCTGAGGATGAGTATGGGGGCAGCGTCAGGATGAGGAGCAGCAGGTGGTGGGTACTGTGCAGGAACCTCTGTCCATCCCTAGGACGGGAAAGAGTTTACTGTTGGCTGGCCACAGGCTCCTTCACATACCTTCCAGATTAAGCCAGGACATGGCTCTGGCTTAATCCACATGTGTCTCACTTGCCTGGATGCAGTTTTGTGCCTGGCTTCAGGCAATCCACAGCACTCTGCTGCGCTGCCAGGACCTGCTGTACCTGAGCCTTCCTTTTGTGCTCTAAGCTCCAGCTCCGGCTCAGCTGCTGGGGCCTCTCAGCTCCTGCAGTCCCTTCCTGTGCTGCTGCCTGTCTCCTCCGTTCCCACATGCTCCCAGCTGCAGTGCTGGGGCAGTCGTAGGGCAGCTCCTCACAGGCACAGGTCTCATCCCACAGGCACTGTGGCTGTCTGGAACCTGCTCACCAAGTCCCTGCTGCAGTGTGTGCACCAGCCTGATGGCTCCCTCAAGCTGTATCCTTTCCAGTGCTTTCTAGCCCATGACCATGCAGTGCGGAGCATCGAGTGGTGCAAGGCCGACAGGTGAGGGCAGGAGAGCTGGTGATGGTGTGGGCACTGCCTGGGAGAGCTGGCTCGCTCCTGCAGATGAGGGTCCTTTGCCAAGATGTGCTTGAGAGGTCTTGGTGTTGATGGTACTTGGCCCTCTGAACACTGAAGAGGTTGGGTTGGGCTTCCTGGGGCTGAGCCACTGCCTGGGGGAGCAGCATTGTTCTGGGGGACCATGGCCACCCACGCCTGCAGCAGGGACTGGGCACGGCTCTGCACTGGGGTCTCAGTGCTGCCTTTCTCTTGGTTCTCAGCAACTTCCTGGTCACGGCAGGGAGCGACCGTAAGATCAAGTTCTGGGACCTGCGGCGGCTCTATGAGCCCATCAACAGCATCAAGCGGTTCCTCAGCACAGAGGTGGCTTGGCTGCTGCCCTACAATGGGGTCACCGTGGCCCAGGACAACTGCTATGCCTCGTGAGTGCTGGGATCATGGCAGTGCCTGGGGGCCATCCGGGCTGGGGTCTGGTCTAACTCACAAGGGGCCTCTCTGGACTGTCCAGCTGTGCTGTGGCGAGGGCAGGCTCTGCTCGGGCTGGGTCACATCACGTCCTGGGAAACAAGCAGGGTGGGCGAGGGGAAGGATGAGGCCCCTGGTTCCCATGGGCAGTGGGGCTCCTGTGTGGCCCCAGGTTGATCCAAGTTGGCAGAAGGGTTTTGGTGTCTTCTCAGGCCTCTGGGAGCCAGCCTGGGGTAATTCATGATGCTGTGACATGCTGCTAGAGTGAGGACAACCCCCCTTCATCTGCCTAGGTCCCGAGAGTCTCTAGGGAGCTGAGCCTGGCTCTTGCAGTTTTGGGGTATCACCATAGAGCTCTGTCCTCATCTGTTCCCTTTCTGTTGCAGTTATGGTCTCTGTGGGATCCACTACATTGATGCAGGGTACTTGGGCTTCAAGGCTTATTTTGTGGCACCTCGCAAGGGGACTGTGTGGGTAAGAGGCTGGTGCAGGGCAGTTGTGCCCTGGGTCCGTGTCAGAGGGGTGGGTAGGGTACCTACCCCAAACCCAGTGCCAGCTGGGCCCTGCAGGGGTGACACAGTCTGTGTGAGGCCCTGGGTCACCCTCTGCTCCTTGGATAAGGGACCATGACCACTGTATGAGGTGCTGTCCCTGCCTGTGTCCAAGCTGACCGCACTTCTGAGCCCATCCCTCCCCAGCGGGTTGAAGGTGGTGGTGTTGATGATGCTGCAGCCTGGCTGGGGGTGGTGGGGAGCCCACTGGGACCCTGTGCTTTAGAGACCTCTGTTCCTGCAGAGCATATCTGGCTCAGACTGGCTGAACACCGTGGCTGCGGGGGACATGACCGGTGAGCTGGTGGCTGCGGTGCTGCCCGACCTGGCCATCAACCCCCTCAACGTCAAGCGCTCTTCAGACCGTAGATTTGTAAGTGACCGTCATGGTCAGCAGGGCCTGTTCCTGACAACCTGTGGGACTGGGCAGGGTGGCAGTTCTGTTCCTGGGTCATGGGAAGAGTATCCTGAGCCAGGCTCGGGGCCTCTGCTGCCCCACACGTGTGAGCATGTCATGGATGCATGTCATGCCTGTCATGCCCAGATAGGGGCTGTCCGTTGGGGAACGGCAGTGGGAGCAGCCTTGATGTTGGGGATCCTGTTGTGGGGCTCCCAGCCCTGCTCAGTCCCTCATGATCCCTCTCTGCGGAGAAGCACACAGACCCCATGCCCTGAGCTCTATCTTGCCCACAGCCTGTCTACAAAGCTGACCTCCTGCCCTGCAGCCCTGATGGGTCAGAGGGCAGTGAGCTGGTGCTGCCACTGACCAGGCGCTACAGCGAGATGGTCACCAAGAGCTACATCCTATTCCGGGACACGGACCTGGTAGGAGGGGTCAGGGGCAGGCTTGGGGATGGGTGGTGCTGACCATGAGTGGGACCTGTGGGAGTGGGGCTGGGGCTGGGCAGTAGGGTGAGGAGATACTGCACGGGTGTTGTGGCAGCCCCTCACCTCTGGTGGAGCCCTCCTGGCTGCGCTGAGAACATGGGGATGGGCTGCCCTCCTGCCTGGTCACAGGGCAATGGGGGGCATGGCTGTGGGCATCAGTCCCAGGCAGAGCTGCACTCTTGTTGTCATGGCAGTGGCAGCAGCCTGGAAGGAGACTGGGGGCTCACAGCCTGCCTGCACCCCACTCCTCGGTGTTCCAAGCTGTGTTAGGGATATCAGCTTGAGCCAGCAGGGCCAGGCTGTGCTCAAGGGCCCTCTAGACAGAGGGGTTCAGAGCTGCTGTACAAGTACTGGGGCATGCAGTGGGGTCTGCCATGCTCCTGGCCCTCCCTGGGGTCTGACCCTTTGTGCCCTGGGCTGTGGCTGTTTGGGGGGTGACCCTGAGGGCGCCCCTTGTCCCCTGAGCAGCCCCTGGCACTGCGGCAGTCCTGGTGCTGCCGGGGCTGTGCACGCAGCGCTCCTACCCCAGGCCTGCAGCCCATTGCCCTGCAGCCCATTGCCCTGCAGCCCATTGCCCTGCAGCCCATTGCCCTGCAGCCCATTGCCCTGCAGCCCATTGCCCTGGCTCCCCTTCACAGCGCAGCTTCAAGAACTTCTCCAGCCGGGAGCCCATGCGCAGGATGCACACGCAGGAGATGAAGGCAGGGCTGAGCCTCGACCGCCTGCAGCTGGAGTCTGTGCACAAGGTGGGAGAGCCTCAGGGGGCTGCGGCTGCTGCTGCTGCAGGCAGGGTCTGCCTCTGCCCTGCTCCCCCTTGGTGCTTGCTGGGTGCTGGGGTCCTGAGGCTCCCTTTTCCTCCCGCAGGTGCGCTTCAGCCCCAACCTGGACTCGCACGGGTGGCTGGTGTCAGGGGGGCAGGCGGGCATCGTGCGGGCGCACTGCCTGGTGGGGCTGGCCTCCGCTGTGAGCCGCCAGCTCCTGCCGCAGTACCGTGCCCGCTTCAGCTCCCTCTATGGGGATGAGCCTGGTACCCCCAGCCCCACTGAGCGCTCCCCGCTGCCACCAGCAGAGTAGCGTGGTGAGCCCCTCATGCTGCTGCCCCGTGTTCTCACCCCAGGCAGGAGCAGGGGCTGGGGCAGGCTGTGCTCGCCGGGGGGGCTGTGTACCCCCTCTCGGTGCTTCTTACCCTCTGGGCCCAACCTCAGGGGAGGGACGGCTGCTCGTGGCTGTCACCGGGGATGCTTGGGATGCTCATCCTCGTGCTCTGGGCCCAGGAGCATCCTTTTGTGCTGTTTGGTGCGGGAGGGGGGGTGTTGGGACTGGTGCATGTCCCTGGCTTGAGCTGTGGTTCTTGGGGCCTGATGCCAGGGAAGTACCTATAGACCCCCTCCTCTGTGGGGCTGTGCTTGTGCTGACCGCCCCCATGCAGGGGGTTGGGGGAGCCCAGCCAATGGCCTGGGCAGGGCTGATGGGGCTGGCAAGGGGGGGCCAGCAGCTCTGGAGTTGCTCACATTGAGCCTGTGTGTTCAGCTGTGCAGTAAACGTGGTTTGTTTTGTACAGGTTGGTTGTGGTGCTGGCACAGGGCTGTGGGGTGGGCGCCGGTACCTGGGGTGGCCGTGTCCCCCCCCTCTGCTCTTGTGGGAGCCAGGGCTCTCTCCCCTCCCTGTCCCCTCCTGGCTGCTGCTGCTGCTGCTGCTCTCCAACAAGTTTATTGGGGGCTGTGGACTCTGCCACTGCCCGCTGGGCTCTGCACAAAGAGATGGACAAACGGACACACAGACACACACATACACACATATACACACACCACAGGTGCGACAGACACAGAATCACAACGGTGGGGAAGGGTCAGGCCAAGGCATGGCTGGGAGACAGGGAAGCAATTCCAGGGCTTCCCTCACCCTGCACCCCAGCAGCAGCTCCCTTGGCCACCCTGCAGCTCCAGTACCTGCAAACCCAGGGCCAGGGGGGCAGTGGGGCAGCCCCTGGAGTGAGAGGCAGGTGTGGCTGCTTCCACTGCTCCCCTAGGGGATATCCCTGCCTGTCCTTGCTCCCGCTGTGTAAAACGGGGCTCCAGGGGGAGGTGATGGAGCAGGATCCTCTTCTTTTGGGGCTGCTGCCAGCACAGCTGGGGTTGGAGGATCCTGGGGAAGCCCCTGTGCTGGGGGGGGCCAGGCCGTGTGTCTCCCCTAGGACCCTGCACACAGGAGCACTGTCCCACCCCAGGGCTCTGTGGGTGCAACACGGACAGGAGCCCGAGTGCTGCACCCCCTGCTCCAGGGGCAGCTCCTAGGGTGTGGGGCTGGGGCCAGGCCTGACCCAGCTCTGCAGCAGGCGGGGGTCTCGGGCACAAAGGCATCAGGCGCAGGGGTCTTGGCAGTGCTGGCAGCCCCCCATCTCCTCCTGGTACCGCTCCACTTGCACCGTGCATGATGCAAAGCCAAACCTGCTCTGCAGCTGGGTGGTGGCTTCGTGCAGCACCATCTCGGGGTCAGCGCTGGGGTCTGGGGATGGCAGCACAGTGGGGCTCAGCCCTGGCATGGGCGCAGCTGGTGGGGGCCTCAGCTGTGCCCTGGGGTCCACAGGAGCTGTTCATGGGGCACTCACCAACAGCCACATGCACTGACATGGCATGGTGGCTCAGCGTCAGGGCCCAGAGATGCAGGTCATGGACACCCTTGACCCCATTCACCGCCAGCAGCATCTCCTTCACTGCATCAAACTCGAGGTCCCGTGGTGTCCCTGCCAGCAGCACCTGGTCAGAGGGGGGCAGTCCTGGCCCCCAGCCCCGTGCTGGGGTCAAGGCTTGGGGTAGGAGCAGCCAGGGATGGGTTGGGGGCTCCCCCAGGCTGTGGATGGGGGCTCCAGGGTGAGGTGAGCTCTCACCATGGGCTATTTGGGGTGCTCAGGAAGGATGGGAGGGTGGGTTGGGTTGTGACTGGGTGAGGGCTGAGCTCCCGTATGGGGAAGGAGCTGTGGCAGCCGCAGCCCCAGTGAGCTCCTGCACCCTCCTCAGCCACTGCTTACCTTCCATGAGGACTCTAAAGACATCCCTGAGGATGGTGAAGGTGGAGCCAAGGACAAAGACTGAGAAGAAGAGAGTGCTGATGGGGTCTGCAATCTTGCACTGGGGCTGCAGAGAGCGGGGTCTGGGTGAGGCTCTGGGCCAGAGCTGGGCACCCAGGTGTGGGGCTGAGGGAGCTGTTCCCACAGGCAGTAGAGGCAAGTCCAGCCTGGGCACCTTGAAGTAGATGATGGTGGCAGCCACAAGGACGCTGATGCTCTGCAGCAGGTCACCCACCACGTGGACGAAGGCTGCACGAACGCTGGTGCTTCCAGGCAGGGGGGCATGGCTGGGCAGGCAGCCCCCAATGCTCTCCAGCTGCTCATAGCCCCCTGTGCCATGGCCGTGGCCATGGCTGACAGGAGACTGGTGCAGGATATAGGCCATGCTGGGGAGAGCAGGGCAGGCTCAGTGCTGTGCTGGGCAAGATGCAGCGGCCCCACTGGCCCTGCCTGGACCCTCACACAGACAATGGTGGCCGGGTATCACAGGCAAAGGGGGCACAGGAGGGAGGAGAGGTAGGGCTGGAGGTGCAGCAGGAACAGGGCACTCACAGCACTGCAGCAAGGTGTGTGGGGCCAGGGCTCAAAGGGGTGATGCTTGCGGGGCTAGAGGATGTGGGCTGGAAGCTGGGAGTGCATGGGGAACAGGGAATAGGGGAGGCAGAGCTTGGGGACATGAGGCTGGTGCACACAGATAAAAGGTGACCTGTGGGCCAGGTCTGGGGGTCTCGGGGTACCAGGGGAAGCGATGGAGCAGGGGTGTGGGAGGGGAGGCCAGAGCTCAGGGTGGGGGTGTGCAGGGGGATGCGGGTATGCACGGCCCCATGCGGGACATACACCAAGTTGACGCCGACGGCGCTGGCAGATGTAGCCAGCATGGCTCGTGCCTCAATCTCGTAGTCATTGCTGATGATGCGGGCAGCTGCCAGGTAGACAAGGGCCCCGGTCACAACCCATATGGAGAGGACAGAGGCCAGCGCACCCAGTGTCTCTGCAGGACAGAAGCTGTCAGCACCCACCCCGGCTGTGGTGCTCCTGTGGAGCCTTGTGTCCCCCCAGCTCACCTGAGCGGTGCCAGCCAAAGTTCATGGTCTTGGTGGGTGGGCGAGTAGAGACCCAGAGGGAGAAGAGGCTGACGGACATGCTGCCTATGTCTGTCAGCAGGTGGGCTGCGTCCGTCATGATGGCCAGGCTGTGTGCCAGGTACCCGCCTGCAGGCACAGGGCAGCTGGCACCCGGTGCTGGGGCAGCCCCCGTTCCCATCCCTGTCCTCCTGTTACCTATCACCTCTCCGATCATGAAGATGCAGCAGACGCTGCAGGCGACACTCAGCTGCCGGCGGGCCTGGAGCCTGCCCCGACCAGGGCTGGGGGCATGGGGGCTGCAGCGGCAGTGGGGAGCCAGAGCCGGAGGGCCCGGCTGTGCCAGGGAGTCCGGGGAGCCTGCAAACAGACTGGGGGCAAGGGTCACTGCCGGCCTCACCGCCTACCGCAAACCTTGTCCGGCTGCCTGAGGCTCCCGGTGACCGAGCGCCACCGTCCCTCAAAGCCCCAGTCTGGCCCGTGCGATGCCGCCGTAACCCCGGAGCGGACCCGCTGTGTGCCCGCCCGAGCCCCACCACCGGCGTGTCCCGGTTGCCGCACCGGGGTCCGCACCGGGGAACCGGCAATGTACGGAAAAAACGGGCGCCCCCGTCGGGATGCGCAGCCACGGAGCTCTCGGAGGAGCCGGCGCGGTCCCCATCGCACCAACTGCACGGCGGAGCAGGGGGAGCCCAGTGGGTGGAGGGTGGCGTGGCCAGTGCGGTGTGGGAGCGGGTGCCTGCGGCGGAGGTACCGGTGGGATCCAAGTGTTGCGTTTGGGGCCGGGCTGATGGAAGGGGCACTATCGCGGGACGTGAGGCGTAGGAAGCAGGCGGCTAAGGCGGAGGCCGGTGGGCGAAGGGGACCGGCGGGGGCGCTGATGCATGGGGCAACAGCGCGGGAGGGGGGATGGACGGTACCGGTGCGGGTGGGTGACGCTTGAGCGCCGGTACTCAGACAGACGGACGCCCGAGGGGGAAGCGGGGCTGGCGCACAGGTTCCGCTTGAACGGAGGTGCCAGTGTCGGGGATGAGCGTGCCGGTACGCGGACGGTCGGGGCTGCCTTGGGGTCTGCGAAGGTACTGATACCCGTGTAGGCTGAAGGCGCGGGGGTGGAGGGTACGGACGTGCCGGGGGGTGCCGGGGACCGGGGGAGCTGGGCACTGCGGGACGTGACGGGGGCTTGCGGGTCCCGGGGAGTGGGACCTGGAGCTTTCGGGTGGGATAGAGCCAGGGGTGCGGGCATGCGGAGCTATGGGGAGTGATGGAGATGCCGGGAGTGATGAGGGAGCCAGTACGGGCTGTGCTGGTGCGTGGGATCGAGGTTTGCAGATGCAGGGGATGATGGAGGGGTGGTGGTGTCGGGGTTGCCGGGGGCACTGGGAGGTGGCGGGGTGGTGGGGTGCCGGCGATGGCAGTGCCAAGAGGTGCCGGTGATGGAGGTGCTGAGGGTGCCGGGGTGATGGGGCGCCAGTGATGGAGGTACTGAGGGTGCCGATGGTAAATGGTGATGGAGGTGCCGGGCGATGGGGTGCCGGTGCTGGCGGTACCTCTTGAGGCGCAGGCTGCCTTCGGCGCGACCGCCCCGTGGGCTGACCAGGCGGGAGCTCTCGGTGCGGGTCGGGGTCTCCATGCTGGCGGCGAGCAGCACCGCGGGCACCCGCCGCCAGGACCGCCGCGGCCCCGCCCCCCCGACGAAGCCCCGCCTCCCGTCAGGGCCCCGCCCCCAGGCGCCCAGCTGCGGGGTGTCCCAGCGGTGGGAGGGCAGGGTCAGGGCTGCGGCCCCGCCGAGACACCGGTCAGAGACACGGGGGTGACAGCACCGGAGCTGCCCGGCCCCAGGGGAGGCACCGGGTGGGAGTCAACCTGATGCTCCGGTTAGCTTGTGCAGGTGGCTGGTAGGCTGTGGGAGGCTGCTGGGCTACGGGGGCGCCGCTGGAGCGTGGGGGGGGCGCTTTCACACCGCGGGGATGTCCTGGAGGTTGATGGGAGAACACGTTCTGGGGAACACTTCTGAGAGTGTGAGCATGGACAAGAAACCCACCAGAACCTGGAGAAGCCATCACGGCTTCCCCTATGGATAATCGTGTCTTAGCATGACGTGGAGGATCTGGTGATGGGGGAGTGTGTAGAACATCATCTGCCTGGACCTTGCGGGGGGTTTGGGCACCATGTCCTCTAAGATCCTCCAGGAGAAGCTGTTGCAGTGTAAGCTGGATGAGCAGGCAGGAAAGCGCATTGAACACTGCATGGCCAGGTCCAGGGGGTGATCTGTGGCACACGGTCTAGCCGGTAATGACTGGTGTACCACCAGGGTCAGTGCTGGGTCCAGTCTGATCTAACATCGTTGTGAATGATCTGGATGCTGGGGCAGGTTTGCAGGTGACCCTGAGCTGGAAGGAGCAGCTGTACACCAGGGTTGTGCTGATCTGTCAGGCAGAGGGACCCAGACAGGTAGAGAAATGGGCTGAACCTCAGGAAGTTCAGCAAGGGGAAGTGCAAAGTCCTGCTCCTGGGTATGAACAAACACACCGCTCCAGCACATGCTGGGGGCTGCCCAGTGGGAAAGCAGCTCAGCAAAGGCCATGGGATCTTGGTGGACACAGAGCTGACCATGAACCAGCCATGTGCCCTTGCTGCAGCTGTGGCGATGGTGCTCTGGGCTGCATTAAAAAAGCATTTCCAGTTGACGGGGTTGATGATGCTTCCCAGGACAGCACTGGTTACCCTGGCCCAGTGCTGGGTTCCAAGTGCAAGAGGGATGTGGGCATACTGGAGATCTTCAGTCCAGCAAAGGGCCACCAAGGTGCTGGAGGGACTGAAGCATTTCTGCTGTGGGAAAAGACTGAGGGAGCCGGGACGGCTCAGCCCGGAGCAGGGCAAGCTCCGGGGGATGCTCCGGAAGCCATGTCTGTAAACCCCTGCAGGGAGGGGTAAGGAGGAGGGAGCCAGGCTCTTCCAGCGGTGCCCAGTTCCAGGACCAGAGGCCATGGGCATACAGTGGGCCCAGGGAGGGGGCCCCTGGACACGCTCCTCCGTGCGCGAGTGACACGGGCACGGGCTGCCCAGGGTGTCCCTGGAGGCTCTGGCCGTGCTCCCGGGCAGCGGCTGGGGGGCGCCGGACGGGACGGGGCCGGCCCAGACCTCCCTATGGCCGGTACCCGCGGTCCCGGTCCCCGCGGGTGCCCACGTGCGGTGGGGGCGTGGCGGGGCCGCGGGGGCCGCCGGGAGCCGCGTGCGGCCGCGGCCCGTCCCGGCAGCCCCCGCGGCCCATCCCGAGCCCACGGGCCCGCGGCGGCGTGCGGAGATGGCGGCGGCGGGCGCGGAGGAGCGGCGGGGCAGCGCGTGGGGTGCGGCCGGCCCCGAGCGCGGCCCGGGCCCGCTGGGCTCCCTGCTGAGCCGGCTGCCGCTGGCGCCGTCCCCGCGGCGGAGAACCGCCAGCCAGTGCCAGCCGGAGCCGCCGCTGCTGCGCACCAGCAAGCGGACCATCTACACGGCCGGGCGGCCGCCCTGGTACAGCGAGACCGGCGCGCCGGTGGACGAGGCCTTCGTCATCGGTCAGCGGCGGGATGGGGCTGGGGAAGGGATGGAGCTTGCGGCCCGGAGCCGGGCTGGGGCAGGGATGGAGCGGGGGCTGGGGAGGTGGTGGAGCCAAGGATGGGTCTGGAGCTGGTGCTGGGACGAGGTGGGTAATGGAGCCAGGCCTTGAGGCACGGCTGAGGAAGTGATGGGGCCGGGCTGGAGCTGAAGCTGGGCACTGATGGATCCCTGGCCTTCGCGGTGATCCCCTTCTCACCTCCAGGCTTGTGCGGTGGCAGTGCCTCGGGCAAGACAACAGTGGCAACCCGGATCATCGAGGCGCTGGACGTGCCCTGGGTCGTGTTGCTCTCCATGGACTCCTTCTACAAGGTGAGGGCTGGGACGAGGGCAGTGCCAGCGAATCCACGGGTCTGGCGTGGCACTGAGTGGTGATGGTGCCTGCAGGTGCTGGATGAGGGGCAGCAGGCGCTGGCAGCCCGCAGCGACTACAATTTTGACCACCCCGATGCCTTCGACTTTGAGCTGCTTGTCAGCGTCCTCCGCAAGCTCAAGAAGGGCAAGAGCGTGAAGGTGCCGGTGTACGACTTCACCACGCACAGCCGCCGGCGGGAGTGGGTGGGTGCCATGGGGCAGCTGGGATGGGCACTGGGAGGGGAGGCTGGGTGAGCCCTGGGGAGCAGGGATGTGTGGGGGCTGTGGGACCTGGGAGGGGCTCCAGCCACCAGGGGTGTGTGTGTCAGTCTGGGGGTGTTTGAGGCAGGGAGACATGGAGATGGAGATTGAAATGGGGGCCAACGCAGAGTGCAGGGAGAGGCTGCAGTGGGGAGCATGGAGTGCAGAGAGGGAAGGAGCTGGGAAGGCAGATGTTTGGGGCTCTGGAACAAGGCTCTTTGTCAGTGCAGGGCTGGGTTATCGAGTGTAGGGATCAGAATAAGGGCCCTTAAATGTTGGGTGATACAGGATAGTTATAGGGCATGCTGCACATGGGTGGCAAGAGCCTGGGATGGGTCAGGGGCTGAGGGCTTTAAACTGACAGAGGGTAGACTTAGATATGAAGAAGAAAGGAAATTGTTCCCTGTGAGGGTGGTGAGGTATTTGTACAGGGTGCCCAGGGAAGCTGTGGCTGCCCCATCCCAGGCAGAGTTGAAGGCCAGGTTGGACAGGACTTGGAGGACGCTGTTCTAGCAGAAGGTGTTCTTGCCCGTGGTAGAGGGATTGGAACTGGATAAGCTTCAAGGTTCCTTCACACCCAACCCATTCTGTGACTGTGCCATCTGTGCTGAGTGCTGGCCTTGCCGCAGTGGGTGTGAGGTGGGCAGGACGAGCACAGCTCTTATCTGCCCACAGAAAACTGTGTACGGGGCCAACGTCATCGTCTTTGAAGGGATTCTGGCTTTTGCGAACAAGGAGTTGTTGAAGGTACCGCTCGCTGCCTGGTGTGGCTGGTGCCCATCTCAGTGTGTGGTGTGGCAGGGGATGTGTGGTGGGATGGGTGCTGGCCTGGCTTGGCCCTTGATGCTGCTGGGGCAGGGTGATGGGTTGGGGCTGCCAAGGGGGAGGTCACCTTCCTGCCTGCTGGCAGAGCCCTTCCACATCCGAGGCTTCAGGGGAGGCAATGCTGGGGGTCAGACCTGGCTGAGCTGTGGATGGGGGGAATGAAGCAGGTCTGGTGGGGGGATGCATAGGGGGTGCTCACTCTTCCCAGTTTTCCAGCTCCTGGACATGAAAGTGTTTGTGGACACGGACTCTGACATCCGGCTGGTGCGGCGGCTGCAACGCGACATCATGGAGCGTGGGCGCGATGTCGCGGGTGTCATCAAGCAATACAACAAGTTTGTGAAGCCATCCTTTGAGCAGTACATTGAGCCCACTGTGCAGGTTGCCGATATCGTGGTGCCCAGGGGTGAGACTGCTGCATTTGCCAGACCTGACCCCAGCTCTGGCAGCAGGTGTCCTAGGATGGGGTTGGGTCAGTGTGCCTCTGACTCAGCTTCTCTGCTCTGCTGTCAGGTGGGGAAAACTTTGTGGCGCTGGACCTCATTGTGCAGCATGTGCATAGCCAGCTGGAGAAGGTGAGCTCTGGGCTCTTTGATTACTGCTAGTGCAGCTGAGGAGGATTCTGCACAGCGGGGAGGGTGTGGGTGCTCAATAACCCTGTGCTTCTGGAGCACGCAGAGGGTCTTGGTGTCACCGCTCTACAGAAGGTCTTGGGGCAGACAGAGCTGGGGAAACTGGGACAGGTCTGGGTACAGTGACACCTGGCACTTGCAGTCTGGCCTGGCCTCGTTCATGTGCTGTCATCCTGGAGAGCTCTGCTCTCCCCACCCTGCTTGTCCTGGCTGTGCCACCTCAGCCTGCCCTTACCTTCTGGCTCTGGTTTTCCTTCTCAGGGTTTAACCCCAGGAGAAGTGGTGGGAGCTGGGCCAGGGCTGCTGTGGGTGGTTGTGCCTGGTGCAGTGACTGTGTTTCCTTTCCTTCCCTTCTTGCCACACTTGATGACTCTGCTCCACCACCCAGCGTGAGATCACTGTCAGGTACGTGGAGAACCTGTTAGCCACAGAGGGGCTGGTTTCTGGGCTGGGGGAGGAGGGCCACGAGCACCCACTCTTCCCCAGGTCCTGCCTCTTCTTGTCCCTGCTGGCCAAAGCTTTGCTGAGGTGCCTGAGCATAGCTGCTCTTCCTCGGCTGCCCTGCATTCACCTTCTTGGGGATCATCACGCTGTGGCTGCAGGCCCCTGTGTGAACCATCCCACAGCAGCTAGGCTTGACTCATGTGACTAGTGCACTGCCTTCTTTTCATCCCTTTCTGGAGCACAGCTCCTGTCCTGCTTTTTGGATTGTCCCAGGCTGCTCCCTTCTATAGGAGAAGGGCTCTGAACAGCCCTTGTTCTCTGGGACTTCACATAGCCTCAGAGGGACAGTCCTTGTCCCTAAAGTTCACTGCAGCATGGGCAGCCCAGTCCCAAGGTGCAAGGCCTTTGCATGCAGAGATGCTCCTCTTGCTCCCTGGGTGCTGGTATAGAGGCTTACATGTACCAGGGCTGCTGACAGCTGGATTTGTGGTCAGGGGAGGTTTGACCCACTTTTATGGGTTGGTACTGCTTTGGAATCTCATACCTGGTACCAGGCTTGGGGCTTTCCTAGGGATCAAGGTCGGAAAACCAC